GTCGAAGCGAGCGAAACCATGAATGATATACTTGCACAGGTTGGTATGGTTTTGTGTAGTCCCAACAAGCGATGGTTTCTGGTAAAGTAATGGTCTTTTTTTTTTCAAGGTTGCAACCAGCACTGAATCATCCAAGAATGTGGGTAATGCAATATTATACGAAACTGTGCTAACTATTATGGAAATTCAATCTGAAAGCGGTTTACGCGTGCTGGCAATCAACATTCTCGGCAAATTTTTGACTAATCGTGATAATAATATAAGGTGCTTATGACTGATTCTCAACAAAATTTGTTCTATTATACATCTTTTACTAAAACGGTTTACTCTACAGATACGTAGCATTGACAACTCTCAACAAAACGGTAACAATTGATATGAATGCCGTTCAACGTCATCGCAATATCATCCTAGACTGCTTACGTGACGGTGACATTTCCATACGTCGTCGTGCATTGGAGCTGTCATTTGCGCTAATTAACGAATCAAATGTGAGAGTACTGACCAGGGAGTTACTGGCCTTTCTGGAGATTGCAGATAATGAATTCAAACAAGGAATGACTACAAAAATCTGTATAGCAGCCGAAAGGTATGTTAATTCGGAAACCATCCAAGAATAATGCGGGTTTGCGTACTTCTAGTTATTCTAATGATGGTGCTTCCTTGTTGTGTTTAAAAAGTATTATTCATTGTGTATTTGCAAGCGCCAAGTCACTGACGCATTACAATTGGTTGTTTATATGTTAGGTTTGCACCTAACAAGCGATGGCATATTGATACTGTGCTAAGGGTATTAAAGCTGGTAAGTCTGGTAAATTTCAAAGGTTTTATTGTTAACATTTTTCTGACTAGTTGATTCCTGGTAAACTTGGGTAGGCTGGAAATTATGTCCGCGAAGAGATTTTATCGAATTTCATTCGGCTGATCGCACAAACAACAGAGTTAAATGCATATACGGTTCAAAAATTATATGCAGCATTGAGAGAGGATATCTCTCAGGTAAACAATCGTCATTGTTTGTATTAAGTCGTTTCATACCATCATGCATGATATTAATCCAAGTAATTCGATCATAGGAATCTCTGACCTTGGCTGGTTTATGGGCAATTGGCGAGTACGGTGATATACTCATAAGTGGTGGTAGTTTCGAAGAGGAAGAACTAGTGAAAGAGGTCCGTTAGATTTTGCATTTACGTGTTCATGGACCAATTCTAAAGCTTAATTAATAATTCATAGGTTACCGAAAATGAAGTAGCCGAATTAATAGAAACTATCTTAGCCGGGCCGTATGCCAATCAAGTGATACGCGAGTATGCGTTGACAGCCCTTATGAAGCTTACTGCTCGTTTTGCTGACCCTAACGTTATCCGACGTGTCCGAGCAATTATTGAACAGTACAATGCAAGTATTGAAGTTGAAATACAGCAGAGGGCGGTAGAATACGAGAATTTGTTCCAATTTGATGCAATAAGACCGTCTGTACTGGATAGAATGCCAATACCTGAGGTTAAGGAAGAAACTAATAGGCCAAGTATGAGATTTCGTTTGTTGGCTTGATAAAGAATTTTTATCATGTAATAAGAAGCTTAATTTGATTTTACTATTATCTGTTCAGCTTACGATGAAGATACTACGATTAAACCAAGAGCAAGGACGCACGTAAGTGTTATCTCTCAATATCGTATATTCCCCTTATAGTAGCATATCGTTTATTCACTTTCTTTTCCGACAGGACTTGCTTGATTTGGACAGCGACGAACCTATTGTGTCTACACCAGGCCAACCGAGCATTGTCAACACTGGAAGGAAAGAAATCGACTTGTTGGCTGATATTTTTGGCGAGACCTCCATTAACACTTCAGCACCTGCTCGAACCACAACTGCTGCTACACCAATCCCCAATACCAAAGACGATATTATGAATTTATTTAACACGGTACAACCCACAGTGCCGACAACTTCAGCTCCTTTGAATAATTTAGGATTGGACAGTCTTGGATTAGGAGGATTGAATACTAGTGGCAGCGGTGGGCAACCGTTCGTACCGACACAACCATTCACAACAATGCAGGCTGATATCTTGCAAGCAACCCCTGTGCAACAAATGCTAGTTCCGACCGACATTAATAATATGTTTCCCATTAATCAGGCCGTTGCCCAGTCTGGTGAGTGTCATGTTTTACACTTTATTAAAAGGGAACTTGTAATTAACTAGTGATCGCTTGTTCAGGCATCTACGTTGCGTTCGATAAAGATGGGTTCAATATGTCCTTACAACCGGCTAAAGATACCAATAACCCGAATATCCTTAATATTAATGTTATATTTAAAAATACCGGTGTTGGGGCTGTTGTTGAGAACCTACTACTAAAAGTTGCAATTCCAAAGGTAGGAATTTTCATGGAATTCGGAAAGCCCGAATACTTTGCTGCTGGTTGATCACTAATATTGTATATTCTCTTTCACGCAGACTCAAAAACTACAGATGGAGGCGCCCTCCTCGACAACAATTACTCCTGGCGGAACGGCGACGCAACTTGTTCGCATTGCTAATCCGCAAAAGGTATAAGATTGACACAATTCTGTTTGTTTTGATTGTTTCCTCGTTTATTGGGGTCATCATCTCCAAACCAAGATATTGATTTCTTCGTTTTTATAGACCAATATCAGACTTCGATTAAGGTTATCTTACGAGACTGCGACGGGTGTCAAAGTGGACGAAATGATGGAGTTCAGTGATTTCCCTCAAGAACTGTGGTAATTGGGAGCTTGGGATTGGACATAATCGGGTAGTATTGATAAAATATAGTAAAAAGTAGAATCGTATTTCTTTTGATACCTTAAAGTTAATTTAACTCAATAAATAGATATCAAAAATGCAACATGTTTGATTAAAACGATTGGTCGTTTAGTGTGTATTACGTCGCCTATTTGAATTTAATGCCCAGATCGATCACTAATTGAAGACCAACATCATTTTAACATGAACGACGCGTACCACATTGTATTATCCATGAGAGTTACGATTAATAAAATTTTGAAGAAGGCTCTCACGCATCAGCACAAATTAAAATTCTTCTCATCAGATCCTTGTTTTCGCATCCCTGTTGCCATTAGGCACACATTAAATTTATTAGAAAAAAAAAGTAAGGGAATCCTTTATTGGCGTTCAAGAATGTTTTTAATCAAATGAATATCTGGTATTTCCTGATTAATTTTCTCGGTCCCGCACCATCTTTGCGGCGTCACGTTCGCAGGCGTTGCCTACGACCTCGCCAAATCCAATTTGAAACTCGATACTCTTAACCGCATCGTGCTCGCAACCAGTAGCATTCGGTCAGAATTTTCGACTCGCTGAGCGTAGAAAATGGTTTCCTTTTTCAATTGCGACTACGTGCGCGTGACGGAATTACGTTATACAATCTTTATGACTTGAAGATGTTTTGTAGAGTAAACATTATGAATGCGCCGCGTCCTTTTATACTACCTCGTGTCATCAACATTATTCATCGAGTACAAAAATACCGTGAATTACGTCGGTAGTCTATCGGTTGGGGTTTTATACGAAAGCAACTAACTATCTTTAATGTCGCTCAGTCAATCGTGAGACAAGAATACGATCGACCTTATCCGTTATACGAAATAGTTACAGTAGCGAGCATGTAAAACACACGTCAATTTCGCAAATGATATCCACAGGTTCGTCCTTAAACAAATTGTATTACAACAATTACATATTCCTTGTTCTGCAAGATCAAACCGAGAACACAAAAATTTGTTCTCAAATAATTCAGATTTTCTGTGTCCATGCTAGTTCAATCACTAGTATACCTAAATATTCGAAAAGTGGAAAACCGCATAACCGCGGAATTGTCTGCCATCAAATTGCTACAAAAAATCAACAATCTCGACCGCAATATAGGCTTAATGGGCTACGAAGTTCGCGACATCAAAAATGTTGTTGGAAGTCGCGACAGTAATTCCACTGATGACACCAGTTTCCCTCCCATGCAGTCGCGTTAGGTCCAAGCCTTTTATCTTGTATTTAGGCATTTTTACGAGTATAACATTCAAGCTTGATTTATTAAAGGTTGCAAATTGAAACAGGTTATTGAGAAAACAAGCAATTGTTAGCAATATTTCGCAGTCCTCACTGCCGACTTCCCAATCATCGAAGACAGCTATTCAAAATAATAAAATTCAGTAATAGTTCCATCGGCTCGACACCCCATACCAGCCGGGTAAGGGAGCATTCATCCAAACTCTTTCCAAGTGGTCGTAACAGACTAACTATATTATCCCAATCAAATACTCGACCATAACAATCAAGAAAAGCAATCCATCATGTTCCCCGATGATAATAATACTACTCATGCAGAATCCCGAAACGAAAGCACAAACCGGGAAGTTATTCGATGCTATTATTGTTTTGGGGATACAAGGTTTCGATCCCGTTAGCGCTCAATAATAAAAGAAGTTCCAATCCATTAAGGGAACGGGGGGCTGGTGTGCAAAATGCCAAGGTGTAGGTAGGCCTTAGGAGTATTTTATTTACACGAAATGTAATAATTTTCATTATAAATTTACATTACTCCTAATACTAAGTAATTTCTTTTTGCCGAATAAGTAAACCTGTGTGCTACGCAAAAGTTGCGCATGCGACACAAAATTGCAAAGCTTGCTAACTGGCTGAAAACGCTGCTGATGACAGCATATGATCTTCTGATATTCTCACGGTTGATTAGCAGCCGAAATTGGGTAACTTTCCTTTCTGGTAAGCAAATTGTGTTTTTCTATCTCGGTACAACCAATGGGGCTCTAAATTGATACTGAAAAGGTTATAATGACGACTCCTGCGGGGTAGTTTGCTTCAACCCCCAAAACTCGAATCTTGACCCCCTCAAATCGATCGATGATAATGGTTGGTGGCTTTAAAAATTACCAACCCACCCCTAAATCGATCGTCAAAATTGGTTGAAGCAGGTGCCTTTTTTGTCATCATGCCTCCAAAACGAAACGTCAAACACGAAAGTGAGGGCACTCCACGACGATCCAAACGCCTGCGACTTGTCAGAGACGACTCGGTCCTCGCAGCGGGCGCCAGTAATCTTAGACTCAGTTCCGGTTCTGGTGATAGCTATGACTTGGACGACCTCCCTTCTTCGGCCTCTCTGTTCAAGAACTCCCACATTGAGGTATTGAGAGTGAGAGTCAACCCAGCGTCTGCTGAGAGTGATGTTATACCCACAGTTGAAGGTACAAACTATTTTTATCGGTTGTCCTCTCAGCGAACATAAAATAAATAATTTTCAGACACAAGCATTCCAGAAGAATATGTTCTTCCTAATATCACACGTACAGTACTTGGAAATCCAGAGTTTGACGTTGAAGATATTGATGAAATTACGAATAAGAAAGTTCGCACTTTTTTTGCGAACTTGCATGATGTTGTGATTAATGGCATGCAGGTGGTGGGCACAGATGAAACATTCACTGATACGCTTGTGGATGGTCTACTGCGCATTGTTGAGCTGAATGACTGGCCCTTAAGGGTCAGGTTAGTGTCTGCATTTGTGTCCTGTTTTGAGAAATAGACGAATGCAATGGTTCTAAAGTTACATTTTTAAAACCCAGAAATCATCCCTTCTGCATATTAGACATTGCAGATTCCCGTGTATCGTCAGACCCTGGATTTGTAATAAAAAAAAGAAAAATCATTGTTGTGGTGGTAGTCGAGGTATGCGGGTCGTGGCCGTTTGAACAAGTTATTTTCGTTGTCTCAAGCAACTTTCTTACAGGACAAACATTTGAGAAACGTCAGACCAAACAATGGATTTGGAGAATCCCAGATCAGTGTGGAGATTCTCGCTTGCGCAAATGAGAATATGCGCAAAGAGGAATATCAATATCGGGATCAGACGTTATGGGCCATTCGCACAATTTCTCATTATGTCACGTTTTATAAGGCCGATATTCCTGCCGAGTATTGGAGAGAACTTGATGATGGCGTGCCACAAAGTCAGTCTGTTGAGGTTCAAAGATGGCCGCGTGAGAATACTTTGTTGTCCGGTTTCGATCTCGCTCAACCGGCCGGAAGACGAGCCGTGTTGAAAGCTTTAGTCCAAATTCGGGAATTACTTTTGCAGGACGATGACTGAATAGCTATCTGTTAGCTTAGATATCGGTAGTATCACAAACATAGGGGACCTCTTATTATTATATGAAAAGCCATATTCGAAGTTTTTTTGCCGATCATTGCTGATCATTGCTGATAACTTTCAATAGTGAAAAAACGCAAACTTCAAATCCCTAAGATTTTTGAAGCAAGATATGCTCACAACAGCTATACCAATACACAGTATAGCACATGCGCTATAAGAAAATGTGGTTATTTTTTAATTTTTTTTTTATAAAAAAAATTGGAAAATATGAAATAAAAAAGTTTTATATTTGTAAACGATTCTGTCAAAGAAAACGAAAAAGTAGTATTATTTTCTTATAAAGTGCATGTTATGGGGTATGCATTGGCATAGTTTTTATAAACGTAGCTTACTTTCTTCAAATGTAAAAAATTTAAAAACTAACCACATTTTCTTGTAGCGCAAATGCTATACTGTGTATTGGTATAGTTGTTATGAGCATAGCTTGCTTCCTTCAAAAACCTTAGGGATTTGAAGTTTGCGTTAGGAGTTAAACCCATTGTTTCAGTTTTTACTTTATGTTTGGATTGTTTTCAATTATCAAGTACTTCAGCAGTGTGTTGAAGTAAAGCTTTATCCAAAGTTCCATTTGGTTTTAAAAGATTACTATTAAAGATAGCCTTTTCTTCAGGTTTAAGAGCTCCCCCATGATAATTTGAGTATTCTTTAGCTTCATCCATTGTATTTATAATATTTTTTTTGAATGCCATAATTTAATTTTTATATTATATTTTTAATATTAATATCATTAAAAGATTAAATATAATAATAAAGAATTTAATAGAAACAAACAAAAACCAGTAAAGTAATAAAATTTGCACGGTTGACTGGAATATTTTTATTCAGTATCAGTATAGATTGGTTTGGGACAATTTATGTCTTTGAATTTGTCTCTAACAAATGGGCGAATATTATGATAAGATATTCTTGCTTTTTGTAATCCAAAGGAGGAGGAGTTAAAACTAAAATAGAAAAAGATTTAATTTCTTTGGTAATTTCGAAAACACTTGCTTTTAATAAATTAAATTCCGTATAAGTACTATCAGCAACCAGCTGAGCTTTGACAATACCAGGTTTGGCTGCTTCAAATACAAAATGCTGATATTTTTGTAAGCCACTCAATTTTTTAAGAAAATTCCTAACACCAAATTAAGATCTAAATATTAAAACCCTTGCCGTTTTCATAGCACTGAGCCTTGTTTAATCCCGCGGTGCTCGATTTTTTCACAACCTCAACGATATGGTCTACACAATTCACTGTCATCTTTCGGTAAAGTTTTTTAATCAGTCCGAAACTACCATCACATTTGAATTTAGTATGCCCAGGCACCATAAATTTTAATTCGATACTTTCATAATAACCGCACATTACCAAATACAAGTAGAATCAAATGGTAGCATTATTTTTATTCTGCCCTCCCGCGTTATCGCAAGTAATCTTTAAATATTTTTTGCCTTTATTCAATCGTTTAATTCCATCGAATACCATGCCCAGCGTACCATTAGAACCCTTGCCAATAATTTCGTCTTTAGCAAGAAAGTAATTAATTTGCTAGCGTACTGCTTCGTCCTGAATACCAAATAAATGCACTTTACGCGGACTAAGATAATAAATCTTACTTACCTGTTGATCGGAATGGGGTAGATGAACGTTTTGCGCTCAATCGTAACTGTAATGCGCAGTCGCGTCAATGCTACAATAAGCTTTACCTCTTGTTATAAAATGTTCGTCCACCAATTTTCTCTGTTCTTCTGCTAATTTCGTATTTTGGTTGTAATAATTTCTCTCAGTTTTAGCCTTAACTAAATGTTCTTTGAATTTTTTTAATAAATCTTTTGCTTCTTCTTCCTTGCGAGCATTATACTGTAAACCATTCCGAAAATGTTGGCACGTGTCACATAAATCCGTTCGTGGACTCATGATTTGAATATAAGGCGTTAATTGGTGCCATAACTTGCGGAATGCATCATATTTTAACAATTTCAACGTGCTATTGTTTTCGAGACCTACAATAAAATCGCGATAGACTGATTTATAACTCGTTTTAGCTGGCAATAGTGTCAGCGATTGAGTAATGCGATTAACATTTCTACCAGGACTTGGTAGTCCATGGATTTCAGCATAGTTTTCGAGAAAATTCTTCACGGCAGTAGCAACGGTTATATCAATGGTTATTTTGGTTTTCCATCG